GCCCCCGGGCCGTGTCGCGTGGAGCCGAGGCGGGCTGGCGAGCAGGAGGGGCAGAAGCCGTGCCTGGGCCAAGGGAGAAAGTGGGACCTCCCTGCTGGTGGGGAGGAGCCCGTGGGCTGGTTGGGGCGCTCACGGCGAGGCGCCCGCGGCAGCCCTGTGGCCAGCGCTGCGGTAGCGCCGGAGGGGACGTCAGGGCGGCCGGACGCCGCAGGACTTGGAGCGTCTGTCTGTCTGTTCTGGGGCACCTCAGCAATCTGCTCCACCGCCCCGCTCTGCTTGCACTCTCCGTGGCAGCCCTTAACTCCCTTTGCAGACTGCTGGCATGACTCCCTTCAGCCCTTTCAAGATTAATATTTTTCTATCTTAATCCAAGAAACAAGAAGCCTTTTTGCAAAACATACCAGCACCATGCTGCCGCAATTTTTCTTATCTGTATTCAGTAAAAATTAAAACAAACCTTGGATATTCATTTGTTAGTTTGGCTTGCAAAAACGAGTCTGTTCAAAAATACTCTTGCAGCTATTCTGTTTGTCGCCTTCTGACGTTTTAACATTCTGCAGGCTGCAAAACAGTGCTGCAAGCTAAACAAACCTAAAGCTTTTAGTTCTTCCTCAATTAGCACAATCCGTTTCCCATGTCTTCTGTGACCTCTGGGGATCTCTGTTGCTCCGGGGTTTCATCCGGCCGATGCAGCTCTTCCCAACAGCCCGGAGGCATTTCAGAGTCCTGGTCTGTCCCAGCACGGCTGGGCTGGAGCCCGTTCCGTCCTGTCCCTGCAGTGAGGCTGCAGCAGCCGGCCGCGCTGGCGGCGCTCTGCGCGGGCGGGCGGACCTGTGGGCGGTGGGGCGGTCGTCCGGGATTTCTTCTTTCTGCAGCTGCGGGTGTCGAAGGGCTCCGTTCCGCACGGCACTGCCACGGCCACGGCTGCCCCGGGGGTGCGCCAGCGCTGCGGTGCCTCCCTCCTCGGCTCCCTCCCGCCCTCCCCAGCGCTGCGGCCATCCCGTCCATCGCAGGGCCCAGCTCTCCTCCCCACGTCTCTGCGGGCAGATTGGTCTTCGAGCGGTGTCCCGAGCGCCCGCCAGGTTACGGTGGTACAGAAGGGGTCCCCACCTGGAGTCCCTACGGGAATCGCCACATAAATGGGTGACACTTGGCAAGAAACGTCCCCAGGCTTTGCTCCCTGCCACTTTTCAAGCAGCTCTCCCCTCGGCTCCTGCATCGGCCCAATGGCCCCGTCCGCAGAGGCGCGCTGGACGCAGGAGGTGCTCCGGGTGCTCGCACGCGGCTCGGCTGCCATCTCTGCCGCGGAAGTGGCTCCTGCGGTGAAGCCACCCGGTCCTCGGTCCTGTCTGCAGGATGCCTCACCGAGAGCACCACGTGCCCCCGCAAAAAATGAGTCTGAAAGCAGAAGACATCCTAGTGCAGGGCAAACACAAGGTCTTTTGATAAATGGCAGAGCGCACGGTTTGTGATGGGAGAGGCTTGCACGAAGCGCCCACTCTGGCTCTGATCTGCCAGTCCTTGTCCCCGGGGGAGACCTACGCTGAGCCTGGGAACCAAGGTTCAGCATTCCGTGAGTATGGAAAAGCACGGAATCATTGGGAGCTTCTGTTTTGTGGCACATAAAGCACTGACCACAGCCCGCGTCCCTCCTCCTCCTGTGGGAATGAACTGTTTCCTTCACCTCTCCTGCAGGAGGTGAGGATCTTGCCGCTTTCTTCCCTGCTCGTCTTCCCGTTAGCGCCACAACTGCTCAGTGTACTTCCTCTAAGGATTTTCTTAGCTTGATGTATTTAAGTTACGTTCAGCAGTTTTTCCCACCTCAATTTTATCCTGCAGCTTCCTCCGTCCGCGGCAGGCTGAGGGGAGGCTGTGGCTGAGCGGCAGCGGCGGTTCCTGCCTGCCCCGAGGGCCCGGCACCAGGGACGCCCGATGGCGGGGACTCGTCCGCTGACCCCATACTGGGCAGTGTCAGCCCCGGGCAGGGGGTTGGAACTCCACGATCTTCAAGGTCCCCTCCAACCTAAGCCGTTCCGTGGTTCTGTGGTTCACTGCCAGCGCGGGGGCAGGCTGCGTCCCCTCCTCCTCCCGGCGTGTCTCCGTGCAGAGGTTTCCATGGTGCCTGCGCACCACGTTTCACTTGGGCTTGCTGCCTCTGGGGGTTGTGTTCCTCACGGCTGTCAGCGCTGTTTGAGCTTGTTTGTAACGCCGGGTGAGGGTAAGACAAAGCAGAAGCGTATTTCAGCAAGACGTGGGTAGGGGTTTTGGTGATAGCCAAACAAAGTGTAAATGCAGCCTCCATCCAAGTTTGAGAGAGATAAATACTGTCGGAGCGTTTAATCTCTGACGTTGGGTGGCATCCCGGCTGCCGGCCGGCCTCGGGGAGCCGCTCGTTTTGCAGAGGTTTCCCTGGGAAGGGCCTGGGGCCGCGGCCGGGCTGGGCACGGAGCTGAGCCCCGCGCTGCCCGCTCTGCCCGGCCGTCCCCGTACCCACTGTTCCGCTCTGTCTCTGCCTCTGTATCCCCGACGGCTCGCGCCGCCATCGGAGTGGGGCAGTGGCGGGGAGGGCTCTGCCGGAGGAAGGGGTGCTGCCATCGTTCGCAGCAGGGGCGACGGCGTTCCTGCAGCCCCCGCGTCTCTGCAGAGCGCGTGGCTCCAGAGGCACGCGTGCGTTGCCTGTGAGCTTCGCACTCTGCTACGCGTTCCCATCTGTCCAAGCGCGCGGTGCATGATCTGTAAGTACCATTGGGGGTGATGGCGCTGGCAGCGACGCGTTCGGCCTGGGCATGCCCGTGGGAGCACGTCGATCTGCACTTCCCCTCCTGGCACCCCGGTCCTGCCGCTGGCT